GTAATGACAGCACTGCGAAAAACCAAAGTACAAATCTGTATGCATACGTATATAATTGGAGATACACAAGCATACGAGTATGTACATACATATGTATGTATATCAGCATGTTTTCATTTTTATTTAATGCTGAATGGCATAAACAAATCGGACTTCAAATTCAAGCTGACTATTTAATAACTGACAATTGTGCTGTATTTATCAGTAATTGTGTGAAATTGCAGGTTCCTTAAAGATAAAATCGTCTCAAAGTGTTATGAAGTACCTCACACTAGAAATCTAAAGGAAAATGAAAAGAACTTTGACTACATAAAATAAGTATTCTAGAACACAAATTAGCATTGAGCTGAGATCATCCAGTGACGACTTTGCAATATTGTATGCAATGTTAATCGAAGTTGTGGAACTTCGTGTAATAACGGGTGTAGAAATTGCAATTCACAAACTACCCTGCAGGAAACTTAATTAATTTGAAAGTAATTTATAAACTACTTTATTTTCAATGATAACTAGTTGAAATTCTCTACTTTTTTCCCTGCAACGAACCCATTTATTGAGAATGGCGATGTCATAGAAAGCAGTCAATTGCCTTTTCCTGCATATATTTTCAACTACTTTAAAATGCATTTCGTTCAAACAACTTCCAAGTCAGTATGTTTAAAAGTAGTCTTTCAATTAGTAGATTTCAAAAAAAAAAATCAGTTGTTCCCGTCAGTGTACATATGTACATAAATATGTATATGTAGTGTGTATTTGATAGTATTTGTAATATTGAGATTATTTTGATAAACTGAGTGCAAATTGTTAGCGCCACAACCAAGAAGGCATAATTAATTCGTTATCTATTATTTGCTTATCTTATTTACAGATCATATATTGAATTAAAAACAAAGATTAAAAGAAATATTATGATGGACAAGCTCTCTTATTAATAGAACTTGCTAATTTTTTCTGTTACTCGAGGATTTGCATTACTAGGTTTGATTTGCCATCACGAGGAGAGTAACTAGTAATGTCCTTACAAAGGCCCCAGCTGTATGTGCTTCCTTTAGTAGATGTCAAGCTTATTTTACCACAAAAGTATTACACTAAGAAAATTTAGAATGGGAGAGCTATATACTAAAACCTCATATCTGAACATTCAGTGGTATAAGAAATGTAATGTATAGAAACCAACAATCTTTATGATTTTCCCAATGGACCTTGTATAATTTATTAGAAAAAAGTTTACGAAATTACACGGTTTTTTTTTTGTATTTTGTTTACAGCTACCAAATAATCTATTCGCATCAGCTGATTGACAAATTAAAAATATAAAAATAAATAATATAAAAAAAAACTTTTTAATATACAACGCTTTTATAAATGGACTAAAAAGTAGAAAATAATACTTCTCAGTCCCATAGAATTCGTTTTGATAACTTTTGATTTTGAAATTTTAGCAAAAGTCATTATAAACAATCTATGAAATTTAAAATGAAAAACGTGGAGCGCATGCAATACAAAGCATTCGATTTA